TCCGCTTGCAACCGCTCTTTCCACTGAGCTATTTAAGGCTCCTGGGGAGTCGCATCATCCATCTCTTTTTAATGACGTCAGAAGCGAGAAAACGCATGCTAAAAATTCCTGCAAAATACGTCGAGATAAACAGATATATCCACAAAACGACATTTGCGATCGATTAAGTACACCTCTAAAATACTCCGTACACTTTCCTTTTGTTCTAACAATCAACAGATAATTATAAAATAAATGTGACGTGCAATCGTCTTTTCTAACCTAATTTCCTCATTATCTTGTCATATTAATTTTCCGATTATCTATTGATTTTTAGAACAAAAGGAAAGTGTACGGAGTATTTTAGAGATGTACTTAATCGATCGCAAATGTCGTTTTGTGGATATATCTGTTTATCTCGACGTATTTTGCAGGAATTTTTAGCATGCGTTTTCTCGCTTCTGACGTCATTAAAAAGAGATGGATGATGCGACTCTCCAGGAGCCTTAAGACTTCATGTTTAAGATATCTATATACCTAGTGAAAAATGATTCGTTGATTGACGTCAAAATGATATCAAATTGACGTCGGTTTGACGATTTCAACGTTTATTTGATGTCATTTTGACGTCAATCAACAAATCATTTTTCGCTGGGTACTGTTCAAACTGTTATAACTGTTATACTGTTATATATACTGTTCTAACTGAGCTTCAAATGTAAGTAAAGCGCACTTTCAAATATGTAATTCAAAATTCAAAAATAAATGGTTTTCAAATAATGCGATTGAGTTTGTTAGAACTATATATGGATTTTAGAAACATGAATACAAACTTAAGGATAAAATATACTTCGCATAAATATATTTATTATTACAGGTAAAAATTTTATATCAAAAGTTATTTTAATACCAATTCCCTCTCTTTGCTCTATTATATAAAACTATATAATTAATTCCACAAAATATAAATAACTGCGAATAACAATAAATTAAACAATTTATATGTAAATATGTAAATTAATTATTATACACTTACTGACATGTACTGAATATAGGCGCAAAAAGTAATTGCTATAAACAAAACATTTGTAAGAGCTAAGACAGATGAACGAGACATAAGTATCATAATCGTAGACGTAAAATAAAGCAGAAAAAACGTAAACGTAAATCATGAAAGGCTATTAGCCTTACGCTTACGTTTTTCTCTTCCTTACTTTACTTTGTCTACAATTACGACGCTTACGTCTCGTTCTCTGCCTTAAGCCTATTCTGCAATTGCGTGAACGCGGTTGTAAGTAGTTGTAAGTGATTACGACAACCAATCAGAGTAAAGCCCATTCTACAATTGCGTGAACGTGGTTGTAAGTGGTTGTAAGTGATTACGGCAACCAATCAGAATAAAGCAATCAGTAAATAAAACATTCGAATTGGTTGACTCTTACGTTTACGACTACGCTTACCCAATTGTAGAATGGGCTTAAAGCAATCAGTGAATAAAACATTCGGATTGGTTGACTCTTACGTTCACGACTACGCTTACGCAATTGTAGAATGGCCTTTAGCCCTAATTCCTCATGAATTCTCAAAGTGTTCTAGAAATTAAGTTGCGAAGTATTCGCTATAATGAAGTTCTAAAGAATATTTCAAAACAAACTTACTGTGGTTAATTCTTCAAGAATTCTTCGAGTATTCATTTTTCTAATTCTATATTTATTCTTTAAAATGAATTCTCTAGGAACTTCTGTTCATCTCTATGCTATCTGGGTTTAAGATCGCATCCGAGATCTTAGAAATGCCCTTAATAGAAATCTTTTTATTTGTACGTTTATAAATACGAAAATTGTCCACTTGATTTCTATATTGAGCGAGGTTATAAAAGAAATTTATGTCTATCAAAGACTTACTAGTCTTTGAAAACAATTCAATACTCAGTAAACATGCATGTCTAAAAGATATCGAAAAGATATCTAAAAGATATCTTATGCAACATTTTGTTGCATAAAATATCTTTTCGACATCTTTTAGACATGCATGTTTACTGGGTAGTGTATGTACCTGGCTGGGGTGGAGCGAAGACGGATTGAATCAAATTGAACCTTATATGTATACAACGTATTTTTGAAAAAAGGAATCTCAGAGGCATTCAAATTTCTTATGCGTAGGATCTTATTATGCACCGACCTCAGAAAAATTCCCAGAGGATCCGCACTCCTAGAGAATGCTCCCGAGATATATTTAGCAACGATGAATCTAGTTCTGCTGAAAATGTCCCACCACTCTTGGGTAAGATCACGTAAAATATTGGTAGAAGTAGAACACATGAGTCCAAATATAGATCTTATGGGAGCGGTGCACTTGGACACAGTGCATTTGGAGACAGCCAATCACAGCACCGTGTAATTAGAGACATTTGTAGGGTCCCTTGGAACAGCGACTTGTGATTGGACTGTGTCCAATTGCTCCGTGTCCAATTGATATACACCCAGATCTTATAGCTGCATATTGTATTCTGTTCTCTGCCTTAAGGCAGAGAACCATAGAAGGAGGAGGGTATACTAGATAGCGACGGGACGCCGTGCGTTTAAGATCTGCGTATCTTTTTCGTTCCAGAAAGAGAAAAATATCGAGAGCGCGGTCCTGCTAGGCTGGGACTCGAACCCGGGTCTTTCGCTTGCCGGACGACTGCTCTAAACCACTGAGCTACCTGCCGCTCCACGCTCACGACATTCTCCCCTTCCTAGATAACGCTCAGAGATGCCTTTCGGAAGCGACATCTCTGGCGCGACCCCGAGAACACGGCGACTACAGAGAGAAACAATGAGTGCGTTCAGGAGACACAACGGTTACACAACGGTTGAGTAATTAGTCAACGTAATTGGTCTAAAGTTAGGGATATAACAGTAAGAACCAATAATCACTGACCGCTCACTGATCAGCTATATTTTCTGAACGTAGCTAATGGGTGCGTTCAGAAGACACAACTGTTGCACAACGGTTGAGTAATTAGTCAACGTAATTGGTCTAAAGTTAGGGATATAACAGTAAGAACCAATAATCACTGACCGCTCACTGATCAGCTATATTTTCTGAACGTAGCTAATGGGTGCGTTCAGAAGACACAACTGTTGCACAACGGTTGAGTAATTAGTCAACGTAATTGGTCTAAAGTTAGGGATATAACAGTAAGAACCAATAATCACTGACCGCTCACTGATCAGCTATATTTTCTGAACGTAGCTAATGGGTGCGTTCAGAAGACACAACTGTTGCACAACGGTTGAGTAATTAGTCAACGTAATTGGTCTAAAGTTAGGGATATAACAGTAAGAACCAATAATCACTGACCGCTCACTGATCAGCTATATTTTCTGAACGTAGCTAATGGGTGCGTTCAGAAGACACAACTGTTGCACAACGGTTGAGTAATTAGTCAACGTAATTGGTCTAACAGTTAAGGATCTAACAGTAAAGACCAATAATCACTGACCGCTTACTGATCAGCTATGTTTTCTGAACGCAGTCAATGTTACTGTACCAAATGGTACAGCTGTCAGTCTCTCAAAGACAAAGGTTGCTATCCTTTAAGATCTGCTGTCCAATTAATGACGTCATAAGTCTCTACTAGCCAATCATAAAGCTTATAACTATTTGTTTGATCAATAAACGTAGGTTGAGGGTGCTTACAATAAGGGTGCTATTTTACATGTCGTACGACAAGCTTTTCGGATACGTTTATTGGTTGGCAAATACTCTAGGAGAACCTAGAGTATTTCTAGGTTCTCTGTTCGTCAACCAATGAACGTATCCAAAAAGCTTGTCGTACGATACGTGAAATATCAGCCTAACGAGAGTAGAGCGAGTAAGATCTAGATCCTAGGGAATAGTATAATCTCCCATCTATAACTGTAATATTCTATGGTCTGCTCTTGTTCCTGCTCTTGCAGTGACATGCGCTACGAGTTAACCAATCAAATCTTCTAATTGGGATGACGCGCGCGCAACGCACGACGCACTTGTTCCAATGGAACGATTTGATTGGTTAACTCGTGACGCAGGCAGACGACGCACGCCTGACGCGCTCAATGGGAATTCAGCCTAAGGGTGCGTTCCCATTTAGCGCGTCACGCGTTGCATCGTCTGCCTGCGTCACGAGGTAACCAATCAAATCGTTCCATTGGAACAAGTGCGTCGTGCGTTGCGCGCGCGTCATCCCAATTAGAAGATTTGATTGGTTAACTCGTGACGCAGGCAGACGACGCACGCCTGACGCGCTCAATGGGAATTCAGCCTAAGGGTGCGTTCCCATTTAGCGCGTCACGCGTTGCATCGTCTGCCTGCGTCACGAGGTAACCAATCAAATCGTTCCATTGGAACAAGTGCGTCGTGCGTTGCGCGCGCGTCATCCCAATTAGAAGATTTGATTGGTTAACTCGTGACGCAGGCAGACGACGCACGCCTGACGCGCTCAATGGGAATTCAGCCTAAGGGTGCGTTCCCATTTAGCGCGTCACGCGTTGCATCGTCTGCCTGCGTCACGAGTTAACCAATCAAATCTTCTAATTGGGATGACGCGCGCGCAACGCACGACGCACTTGTTCCAATGGAACGATTTGATTGGTTAACTCGTGACGCAGGCAGACGACGCACGCCTGACGCGCTCAATGGGAATTCAGCCTAAGGGTGCGTTCCCATTTAGCGCGTCACGCGTTGCATCGTCTGCCTGCGTCACGAGTTAACCAATCAAATCGTTCATTAGAACAAGTGCGTCGTGCGGGCGGGGCGTTTTAACATACGACGAATTGTAGGCTGCGTTCCGAAATTCACTGCCGGTACTGAAATTCTATAATATATGTAATATAAACTATAGATTTTCAGTACTGGCAGTGCATTTCGGAACGCAGCCGTGGAACAGGCCTTATGCAGGATTTACATCGCGTCCGATGTTCGACGTACGGCGTCCGATATCCAATAGGAGAATAGCTTTCTAATATAGAATTGAATTCTCTATTGGAAAGCTATTCTTTTATTGGATATCGAACGTCATACGTCGGACATCGGACGCGGTGTGAATCCTGCATTAATAGCGGTTTGGTTCAATTCCGGCTCTTTCGCGACCACACTGCTAGGTGTCGCTGCGATCGGTCACAACTGCTGGATGCGCGATGAGTTGCCGATTGCCGCGCCACTTTCATGATCGCAAACAGTCGGCAAGCGAGAAGGCAAACAGCTGATCCTGTTTCTACGGTGCCGCTCCTAGGAGCACATGTCCGCGAAATAATTACGCACGATATCGCAACTCTCTCGTGTCAGACTAGGCGTGCAAGCGACGGTGCGGAATCAAGGTACGTAATCGTGCCGAAGAAACGCCGGCGACAGCGCCCGTATCCGTGTTCGCGTGCGATGAGTAGCCGGCGATAACCGGCGGATCTATCGCCCACCCCCGTCGCCGTCGTCGTCGCTGTTACCGTCGTCGCCCTTGCCGCGGGAAAACATGGCCGACCGCGATAGCGCGTCCGAGAGTGACTCAAGCTCGATCGACGGTGGACCTATCATCATGATGCCGCCGTCGCCGGTAACGCGCGAGCAGCTGCAGAAGCGCATCGAGTCGCTGCAGCAGCACAACCGCGTGCTCAAGGTCGAGCTGGAGACGTACAAGTTGCGCGTCAAGGCCCTGCAAGAGGAGAATCGCGGCCTGCGTCAAGCTTCTGTCATAATAGTGAGTAGTTCTTTTTTTCCGTCTTCTTCATCGTTTGTCCTTTGATTCCTTTGTCGCGAAACTTGGGTAAATCAAGTTCCTCTACTTCTTGACGGGAATGCAATAGACCTGTGTACTTGAATATTCGATCGAAATATTGAACATATTTTATATTATTTTGTGTTTTCAGGAAAATTTTATTGTATTGAGTGTAAATCTTCTACTGTATGGTTCACGTTCTATATTTACAGCAAGCTAAAGCTGAACAGGAAGAGGAGTTCATAAGCAACACTTTGCTGAAGAAAATCCAGGCCCTTAAGAAGGAAAAGGAAACTTTGGCTCATCATTATGAACAAGAGGAGGAGTGTCTGACCAACGACCTCTCGAGGAAACTGAATCAGCTGCGGCAAGAAAAGTGTAGACTGGAGCAGACATTGGAGCAGGAGCAAGAGTGTTTGGTGAACAAATTGATGAGAAAGATTGAGAAGCTGGAAGCAGAAACGTTGGCTAAGCAAAGCAATCTGGAACAGTTGCGACGTGAGAAGGTAGAATTGGAGAATACATTGGAGCAGGAGCAGGAAGCGTTAGTCAACAAACTGTGGAAGAGAATGGATAAGCTGGAGGCGGAAAAGAGGATGCTGCAGATAAAATTGGACCAGCCGGTCTCAGATCCAACATCCCCCAGGGAGATCAGCAATGGCGACACTGCCACAAACCTGAGCACGCACATTCAAACCCTGAGAAGCGAAGTTGCCAGATTAAGGCACACTCTACTGATCTCTCAGCAAGAACGTGAGCAATATTACTTATTAATCTCCAAGTTTAAATTTATTATTTGTTTATTAGTAGAGTTTTCAGCTTTTCTTTAGGTTCAGAAATTTTTTTTAACAAAGGTTCTAAGATATACAATCAAATGCAAAAATGAGAAACAAAAAGGTCTATAAGAGCTAAATGCAGAATTTTATTGATTAATAAAAGTATGATAAAGGTTGTGTCTCACATAAAAGTATTATTATGTAAAAACCGCAACAAATAACAAACGTTTCGATCCATCTTCGGATCCTTCTCAATGTAAAAAATATAAAACAAATTTTGATGTTTATGTTCATTTTGTATTGTGAAAATACCACTTAAACTCGAAATTTTTAACTGATTGTTCTCTAGATACTGAGAAAATGCAGCGATATGTTAACGAGGAGAAGCAAATACGCGAGGAGAATCTGAGACTGCAGAGAAAGTTGCAGCTAGAAGTGGAGCGTCGAGAGGCCTTGTGCAGACATCTGTCAGAGTCCGAATCCAGGTTCGTGTTGATCCACGCTAAGCTTATGCTGTTGCACCCGATAAGTTCAACAACACGAGCTGTATCGGTATCCCGAATTGCACTTGTAACGCCTTTTCACGGTACTCTTTTTTTTTTCGACGCTGTTTTTTTCTTTGACGTAATTATTTTGACAACTCTAATCTGAATGAAAGACATTTGTTCGATCTCACAGACAACTTGATGATGATTTTCGCAGCTTGGAGATGGAGGAAGAACGGCACTACAACGAAATCGTGATGTCCGGCGGGAACATAAGAACTCGTACGGTGTCCAGCCCCGTGCCCTACAATCCTTCGCCTAGTTCCTCGAGGCCATTAAGCCCAGGTAAGTCCCTCTAAATCTAAATATGTACAACTATCTAAGAATAGTATAGCTATGACAGTAGAACGTATCTGAATAATAATGCATTGATTAAAATGGAAATAATTAAAATAATCGTATAGTGAAGTAATATATTTAGTTTTACACAATTAAGTGTTACACATTTAGTGTTACACAAATAAAATCGATAAACGTACATATAAGTAGAAACTAATGCTACCTCTGAGTGCACGTTCAGTGTGATTGTTGGATTGAGCGCGCATTTTATCGATAGGTGTTAACGTGCTAGGTTCAGCGTCCAGAGAGAGCTTTAGCGCGAATCGATGCTATGCCTGCGGCCAGCCGAGCGCTCTTCCGTTCGCGAGCTCATCGCCACCCTCAGCGGTAAACTATCATGTAGGGAAATCGTCGTTAATGCTAGAAACTAATTGACTACATAGAAACCTGTATATAAACGTCACATATATCATAATTCGACTGAAAAATTTCAGTCTAACTTTAAATAAAAATCTGAGTATCTCACACGAGACAAGTTTCAGGTAACAACTATTAATATAGACCTTAGACTTGTGTACTCGAGATATATTTGAAGGAATACGAAGTCTGTTAAGCTTCGTCCTTAATACCAGATTCCTCAATTAGCGCCTAGCATTATGAACGATCGTGAGACGCTTTCTCACACTCTGACAAATCGCGATTCATTACGTTCATTCGCGAACGTTTGCCAACAGGGGCACATCGTGGCGCCGTCCAATAGACGTACATCGGATCGCTTCGTCAAACCGGCTATTCCGCCCACTATCGTGAGTCCAGGTGGTCCGCCAACCATCGCTAATATAGTGAGTGCCGCCGCCGCTGCCGCCGTCACCACCGCGGGATCGCCCATGGACATCGCGAAAACATAAATCATCGACGGGGCTCTACAGAAATCCTTCTTATGTAGTCGCGCAAGGTACTTCTCTAAATGGTGCGTCCCAGCTAGGACACCAGAAGTCGCCCAAGTTCGGTCGGCACTTCGTCGACAATTCTTCGCGAACGATTATCCCCGTTCGTTAACTACTACAGCTCTAATGTAACACGGGCTACAGCTAAAACACATGGGACTTAATTAACCCGATGAATTGCAGATAGAATTAAACAACGCATTCGCAGAGCCTCTCTTCGTCGTCGGGGTGGTTTTTCTTTACGCCGCCTCGGCGCGACGATTCCTTGTATGATGCCTGAAGTACCATTCAGACGAGCTCTTTATCGTACGCAATTATATCATTTGAGTGTTCTACATAAAAGAAACATTGACATGTTGCTTCCATGTTCCAAGTAACCATAGTAATAAATGTTGAACGAACGCTGAGGGACAGCTACACGGTAGGCAAATGCAAATTTGCTCCGTATTCTTACGTGCGCTAAGAACATAACGAAAGTAACTAGGGTGTAGTTTTCGCGGTGTCCCCACTTTAACAGATACGCATTTGTTTAGCTTTGAGCCTGAGTAATCACTTTAGCACACGCGATACCGAGGCAGCAGCGTTATTCTACTGGAGGAAGGTTTCGTTGGTTCTTTCAGCAAAAGATTGTCGCGAACAGTAAAATGTGGAAACTGATTAAGCCAGACTCCTGAGATATCAGAGACTGGAGCGTTTAAGAGTCCTAATTGTTCGAGAATTGTGAATCGCAAAAATCTGCAGATTTAAGGCCCTAAAGCTTCAAGGATTCAGCGACTCTATGATACCGAAATCAAAGGTCTCGTGAATTCAAAGACTCTAGATTATGCACTCAGATAGCTTGAACCTATACTAGCCCAAGACTTTACGACTCGAAAATTTGAGAACTCAAGTATGTGGTATCTGCTAACATTTATGCTGCAATTCTAAGCAGAATCGTAAGTCTCGTAACTTGTAAAATTCGTACGAAAATTCGTAAGAACTTATGAGTAGATTTACAAATCTATGCAATATCATATGTCGTACAATTCTACTTTGTTTCTACTCTGTAGTCGTATCTACGATTTCATGTAATTTACAATATTAACAAATGATTGTACGACATATGATATTGCATAGACTTGTAAATCTACTCATAAGTTCTGACGAATTTTACGAGAACAAATTACGAGACTTACGATTCTGCTTAGAATTGTAGCATTAATGTTACATTTGAAATTAAAAATATTTCGTGGTATCTTAATTGCACTGATTCTGGAAAATTAATTGTGAACCTAAGAATAGAAACCTAAGAATTTCGTAGATTCCACCGATTTTCCTCGAGTCTTCATAAATTTTACGAACTCTGTATCTTCTTTGCTAGAATTTTCGAGTCTCGAAATCTTGGATCGCCAACACCTACAGAGCACGACACATCGGAATTTTGGTCTCTCTAATCTTAGATCTCTTAATGTTAGAAAATCTTGGGATTTAGAATCTTGAAGCTTTGATGTGTTGGAGCCACGAAGCCTTGGCATCTTAATATCGAAAAGTTAAATGTAGCGGATGAGAGACATATATTATGTATTACGTTGAACAGTTTGTTTGCTAATAAATTGTTTTATATATCAACAATATTTACGCAATAGTTCGAGACTATTGCTGTCTATTGTGTTACATCGAAATCGGTCTTTGAAACTTCGTAGTTTCAGTTCTTACGGAACGTTCTTGCGGATAATCACGGTTCTTGCAAATACATTCGGAAACTCGGAAGTCAAACCTATTTCATAAGGCTACCTCGACATCTGTTTCCTGAATCTTTGCAACTAGACAGCCTTGCTTGAAAACCGTGGAATCTGGAAGTTTTGTATCCTGAAAGTTTGAGAAACGATAGAAGCATGAGTGAATCACATACGTTTTTTGTTTGAAGATTCCTGCTACTTTTCTACATCAGTTACGGAGTGGATTACGATGCGAAGAGTGAAATGATGACGAGAAAATGCATTTTATAAGTAATTTTTGCTCACGAAAAGCTTAAAATTTACCAGTGATCTCGCAGTTCTTGATTTCGTGATGCAACGTGGCTGATGTAAACATTGAGAATATTGTTTGTCAAACAGGTGTATTATATATGGACGATACACACGAATCCGGTCAAAGTGTATTATGTTATGTCGAAAACGGTATATAGATATAAATATATAGACAGTCGTATATATACATACATATATATATATATATATATATATATATATATATATATATATATATTATAGAATTTTATTATAACATCAAGTTCTCTCATCAATAATTATAATACGCAAATATGCTTCACAGCTGCATAGTATGTATTTTACTCAAGCTTTTATGAAATACAGTCACGTTTTTGCTATTATGTACCGCGTTTGCTCCTTTCCTGCGAGTTCTGTGACGTTAATATCGATATTCGAACATGTTATTTTTGTAAAATTAGGGCTTTTGCACGTAGAAAAATTTTAACCGTAACCGTAAGGTCGTAAAAAAACTGACCAATCACAGTCGATTATTTCTCGAACGCAAGGAGAATAATCAACTTTGATTGGTCAGTTTTCTTACGACTTTACGGTTAAAATTTTTCTACGTGCAAGGGTCTTTATTGGTAAGGTTTTCTATATCTATTTTAACTCTAATGACATCGTGATTGCGTTATTATTCCTTTCACATATTCACAACTGCATCTTGGGCATGTTATTCGCCTACTTCAATTTGTTTATACATCTAAGAATCTAATATTATTTAGTTTTATGATATTAATATCAATGTAACAATTATCTTCATAATTTAAACTGCATTGCATGAAGCGCCTCGACGATAATCTCGTTATCTGCAAAATACTGTCGATAACAAAATTGTCGGAAATCTACGGCCGTCCGAGCTAAGATGTTATCGACTGTATTCCACGAATAGCGGAGAAGAGAACCTTTCGAGTTCACATGCCTCATCAATGCATGTGCTAAAGGTGTCAAAGAATAGTACCTGCTGATCAGTGTGTCTTTTGAAACGTTGGGGACCGACGTTATTTTATTCAAAATACTTTAAGCATCTCGCAAGTAAGTCTCGCATTTTCCAAAATGGAAGCTCAATTGATTTTATGTATGCTCTTTGATCTCGTCAATAACTACAATCTATGTATTTACAGCAAGTAAACAAACCTATTGTAAGAGTCCCCATTGCTGAATTCGAAATTGCTTGTTTTACGCACAAGTATTGCAAAAGTGAAATATTATTTGTGAAACAACGTCAACCGTTGAAATTGTAATAACAAGATACAATGAATTCTTACACGAAGAAGAACGAAGAGGTGTTGTCAGAAGTTCTTGATCTGTTCCTTTTGCCGGATTACAATGTTGTGTCGACCACCTACTTAGATCATTTGCTGGGCCATATTGCAGAGAACACAAAAAATTGTAAGAAAAGAATATATTACTTTGATATCTTGTTACACTTGTATATGCCTTTTAACCTTATTTTGCAGGTGCTACAGTTGATTATGAATACTGTGAGGTTTTTCAGAAGTGGATACCAAAGGCTTTGGCAATATGGGAATCGGGGCAGATGGTTTCACAACCTGTGATCACATTCACATTGAAGCTTGTAGGGATTATCTCCCGATATGAGCTACGATATCACTACTGGCAATGTCAGAACGTATATAACAGACTTTGCATAACTTTAAATTTAAACAAAGAGGACTTGCCTGCCTCCATTAAAATGGCATATACTACAATGCTGTCAGATTTGATTGTTCACCGAAGTGGTAGACAATGGGTGGTACAGTCTGGTAAAGATTTGGCAAAATTATAATGCATGTCAATTGACCTCCATTAAATAATATTAAGTTATAGTGTCTAAGAATAGTTCTTGTTGAAAATAATTAAAGTACACACATTTTTTCTGTATTAATTATTTTATTTATATTTAAACTCAAGGTGCATGGAGGAATATTGTAAATTGTGCTCATTGGAATCATACAATGTACGTGACAAGGGAGAGCCAGAAATTCCTGTGGACGTTACTCTTGTATGAAAATAAGAACGTCGAGGCCTGTAAAGAGATTATCCTTGCTATCGCTGCACCACTCATAAAGAATTCTTTAGACACACAGATGCATGAGGGATTGGAAGAGATATACTTTGAACAAAACAAGCTGCTGTGTTCTACATTGGATTTGTTGACAAACATTTTAGAGAACACGCTGTTTGCAAGTCTGGATAACAGCATTCCCGAATTGCTCGAGGAACTTATCGATCTTGACAAGAGAGTGAAAGCACTGTTTGAAGCATGCATCAGCACCAGGTTCCTCCATCATGTGCACAAGTTGCTACTACTATCGTTGTTCCTGAAGCTAAGACGAGGTATCAAAGAAGACACCGAAGTGATCGATCTCGACAACTGGCAACAGTTCCGCAATGGTTTATGCTACAGCTCTATGATGTTACTGTCGAAGAAGCACATTGTAGAACTGATCAAGACTTACAAGTTGTCTATGATATATTGGAAGAAACTGCGCGCGTTGCGGCAATTCTCCCCACCGGAGCTGTATAAATTTGAACACCAAGCTATAGCTTTAATGGTAAGTCAGTTTACTTATCACACTGTGTACAATGAGTTACCTGTATTCCTCCACATATTTTGATGACATTGAAAGCACAATTACTTTTATTTGTTAACAGATATTACCATTGTGCGTATGTATAAAGAAGAGTCATATACATCACGACTTCTTGGATATGTTTCTTAACAAACTCTTTGAGGTAACGTGCACCACTGTGCAGAGAATGGCTTACCATATAAGAGACATCATACGGAGAGAGAATCTTCCCATAGAGCAGATTTGTAAAGTGTCTATTGATATGTTGCTGGAAATATTGGATATAATGGATAGAGTGAGTACATATATATCGGAAAAACACGAATTACGAACACAAAAGAGTAGAGATAATAAAGATAGATTGATTGTGAAATTAAAAATATTGTTATTCAAATTATTTATATTTACGTAATATGATTATCTTACGATCTTGAAAGTTAATAAATTTAGCTAGAAATATATTTTCCTCTTTTTTTCAGGACATAGTGGTAATCACTTTCCAAGCCCTGTGTTATGTCTTGAAAAGTTACATGCCAGACGTGCACGAGGAGACGAAGAATCGTGTGTCGTCGGAAGCGAACAGCACACCTACTTCGGAACATCCGCGGAAGCTCGTATATAAATCGATTCTGCAAGATGATCCTATCGTCGACAACCCTATACTGCTGGCATCATTGCTGGACGGTTTGGCCGTCATGACGGAGAAATTTAAGCTGAAGTGGCAAGAATGCGTAGAAACGATATGTATATTATCTCTCGCGCAAGAGATCCTGAAACATCCCGGGATACTGATGATGGTAAGTTAATATTTGCGGGTGAAACGTCGCAAACCATCTACTCTTCGCTACAGTCGATATTACTTCTAACAAACCCTCGAACTTTATGTAGATTTGCGTGAAGGCATTGAAGCTCTGCGAACTTGCCATCCATAACTTTATGCCACCCAACTTGGCGTTGCTGGTGGACTCGGATAGCCACATGAACGAAATAGGGCCTACGCTCTTCAAGAGGCTACATGATCCCAATTGGGAAGTGAGAGACAGCGTTCTCGAAGTTCTGAACACTATCGCGACGATTTCCGAAGACAGTGAGTAAATCAATCTACAACACAACACTGCAAAGATATTGTAATTAATATATATATAGTGATATGGTAATTTATTTACTTTTTACTTTCAAATATAACTCACTTTCCAGTATAACTATTGATGTGAATAACATATTTTGGCAAACATTAATCATTGTTTCTTTCGCAGAGTATCCAGCATACCAAGGCTTTCTGGTGGTTAACCGATTTCCAGAAGTGGCAGTCGAGATGGCCAAAACGGATGCTGAGAGTTACGTGCGAGCGTCAGCGTTGACGTTCATCGCGACCACCGTGCGTATCGGTAAACTATGGGAACAACAGCTATCGCGGGTGAATTTAACCGTATGTATATTTACGCATTACTCATACATCTTCTGGATACCGCCAAAGTTCAAAGGACAGTTATGTGAATCAATTGTTTCACAGGAAATTGCGATTTATCTACTTAAGAACGAGAGCGAAGCGATAGTCAGAAGAGAGTCTGTGAATCTAATGAAAGAGTTGTACGTTCATCGGAAATGGTCGTACGTAGAATTCTTGTGCGTAGTCGCTTAATAGTCAATGGTATTCGGCAGTAATTCGTTTGATTAATTCGCAGAAAGGAAGTTATCGATTCGATGTTGCAAGCCATGTCTGTGGCGGCCGTATTTGACTTGCACTGGGAAGTAAAGACGAACGCGTTGACTTTCTGGGATCACTTCGTCAAGTCCCACTTAACGGATCAGGGAATGCTCGATGACTCCTTCCCGAACGTGACGTTCTCGAAGGAGCACAGGAAGATCGTATCGTTGAATGAGGCGGAAATCAAGCGGAGGCTGAATAAAGCTCTGGACGAGCTGGCTAGGCAAGGTTGCCTAGGCGTAAGTAAACATCAGGATTTAGAGAACTGTAATCTTGTATAGTTTTAAAGCTTCTGACATTTTTAAGGTCCCTTGCATTGCCTTTTTGATGACGTCAGAAGCGAGAAAATGCATGCTAAAAATTCTTGCGAAATACGTTGAAATAAAAATATATATCCGTAAAGTAACATTTGCAATCGATTAAACAAATTTATAAGATATTCCGTACACTCCCCTTTTGCTCTAACAATTAAATTACAATAATTTATTGTAAATTAATCTGAATGCAAAGAAACAGATTAAAAAGATGAAGTATATGTCACGTTAATTTACGACAAATTATTGATTATTAAAGCAAAAGAGGAATGCACGAAATATTTCACAAATTTATTTAATCGATTGCAAGTATCACTTTATAGATATATCTTTTGATTTCAACTTATTTCGCAAAAATGTTTAGCATGTATTTTCTCGTTTCTGACGTCATTAAAAAGAGATAGACAATACGCGGGGCTATAAGCCTTAATTTTATATTTTAAAAAGCTATTTAATTTTATATTTTTAAAAGCTTTTAACTCTTTCAGGACGGGGGTTGCTCGGGGAGATAATTATAGGGAAATACATATTTTATGGGTTTTTGAAGTCGTTGAACCCGAATCTAAACTTAGATTTTTAAAATTCTGTAATCCAAGATGGCGGGCCCAATATGGTGGAAAAAATGATAAATAATATAAATATCACTCAATTTCCGTGAAATTTGAACTATAGAACTTTTTAAAGATACTTTTTTGATAACTAAAATCGAATATTTGAAATTCAAAATGCCGACCAAGGAACAAAATTTTTAGATCCGACCTGATCACATCTGCTCATTTGTGCTCATCCTTGCGAAAATGGTTCGTATATCGAAATCAGTCAAGATTTTCACTAATTCAAATTTAGAGAGTTTGAAGTTCCATGGAAATTGAGTCATATTTACATAATTTGGCATCTTGAAACTCGCCATATTTGATCCGCCATTTTGAATTTTACATTTTTTTTTTTTACTTCAAATTTGGAAAGAGCACCCCAAAAAACTCCTACATACCAATTTTTGTGAATATCAGATCGATAGTTTCTGAAATACACGCATGAAGGCCGTAGAGTATTAAAAGACATCTCCAGTCCTGAAAGGGATAAGAAGTTTTTAATTTTATATTTTTAAAAGCTTTTAAAAAGCTTTTAATTTATGCAATATAGCACTTGGAATGAATAGCAATGATCCAAGCGCAACGCCGATTACAAGAAGTTCACTTTCAGGTACTTCTGGTCACTCTGAAGGACGATAGCGATTTCGAAGTGTGCAAAGCGTCCGCAACGATAATCGGCAAGTTGAAGTCCTGCTTGCTCAAGTACAAGCTGGACGAACCGTCGCCAGCGGAACCGTTTCCGGAGAACAGTGCGACATACGATACCACCTACGTCAAGGTGACACAATCGATGTCTTCACCTATCAGCGGAAAAACGCAAAACTCCTCCTCGCACATCATCGACGAGATCGTTAACGCAAACGACGCTAATTTGTTGGCAATGATTTACAAGAGCTCTTTGAACATGGACGGCGAGACGACAACGACGAAAAAGGAGGAAAAGGACGAGGAAGAGAAAAAGAAGATACTTCGTTACATCCCGTTCGTGAAGCGTCAGGACTTTCTTCGCGCGATTTTCAACTCCGACATCGAGAATTATATCGAGGAAAGGAATCGCTGGCTGAAAACATATACCAACAGTTTCGAATCGATCCTCGATGACATTCTGACGATGTACAAGAAGAAAGATGTCAATTCAATGGACTGCTACTAAAAATTGGCTACCGATGTCCTCCTACGTGTGCCTTAAACTTTATATCCTGTTTAGCGCATTATTTGCATTCCTTTTTTATCGAAAGATCGTTGAACGTTGATAATTTAGTCACAAATATAGTACTTATATTTAGTATGAGCATCGAAATTGACTTTGGAATAGTTAATTTCGTACGAGCTTTGAATCAAATCTTTGTAAATGTAGCATTAAATATGTACATGTATATAATAAGAAATACTGTATTCGACCGCCATTGTTTCCAAAAGTCATGATAAAATTTCCAAATTACACAAATCCTCTTAGGACCTTATCTGTCAGTGTATTTGATGTTTTCTATGTAAAGATCAAAAACACCGATTTTCAAATCCCATTTGTTCTTTGTAGCTGCTTATTTCAATCATTTTGTAGTCATTTTGTAATTTTGTTATAATTGTTTCACCTGGCAATTATTTTATTTTCTTGTTTTTCACCAAGATCCTTCTAAATTCTCTTTTATTTATAAAGGTGTCTCCATGCAAATATAATTCATGTCTTTTAACTAACTGTTAATTATATTTTTGTATATAGAGACACTTTTCGATAAAGAAAGTAAATATTTAGCATAAAAGACAAAATATATCTGTATCCAAGTGTAAATAGTGACAGTGTCTGAGTATAGTTGTAAAGAACAAATCTCTGGTGGTTCTTTAGCGTATTTAACTGGGGTACTATTCCGTTCCCGCGTACCGACAGTTATCGAATCGGTAGGTGTCGTTGCGCAGCTTTTTTATACCGTAGAAAAACTGCGCAATGACGATCCGACAACTGTCGGAACCATGGTAACGGAATACAGCCCGTTCTACAATACGTTGGATGTCGAAATGCAGTAGAGATGCCCGATTCTTAATCGATTCGATTCTTTCCCTAACAAATTTAGGGAAAAAGTGTTGCTCGTGCTGCTTGCATGTTTCATACTTTTCGCTTTTAAAAAGAGATGGACGCCTAATCAGACGCTTGGAAGAAACAATCGATTTGATTGTCTCGTTTTTGCTTCTTCGAAACATTCCAATATACTTCTGTCTAGTTTTAAATACGAAAAGTGCGAAGAGTACAAACAACACGAATAAGCCTATTTTTGGGGAAAGAATCGAATCGATTCAGAATCGGGCATCTCTAGAACACAGTCGATGATCCAATGAAAAGAACTCGAAAAACAGATCCTCTGATTGATCCATCGGCTGCACTCCGACATACGACATAAGGTGCGTTCGAAGAGCTCGCTGTTAGCGCTATTCAGCGTTACCGTGTCATTCTATCCTTGTTGTTTATCTAAGGAACGATAAAGATAGAAGAACATGGTAGCGTTGGCAGCGTGCTCCCCGAACGCGCCTATAGTGGGTGCTTTCCAATTGCTTAACACATCTTGACACATATGTACACAGAAATGCATAAAGTGCACGATTCAATTGGAACAAAGTGAGTGCTTTCCAGTTACGTTTTGTGTATTACACAAAACCAGTTTATTGGTTGTATATTATCTTGCAAGATATTTTAAATAATATGCGACCAATAAACTGGTTTTGTGTACGTATGTGTCAAGATGTGTTAAGCAATTGGAAAGCACCCAGTGTGTACTAATGTGTATGTATGTCGGGTAAGGTTAGGATTATTTTTCAACTATGCTTATATTTTGGTATTTTTTAATGGTAAATAATAAAATCTAAATAATAAAAAAGATATTATCCACTTCACGTCGCAAATGCCAGTTTCTTTTCAAGCCGCTACGCTTATTAACTTTAATTTTCACTAGAAAACACTAGTTACACAGCCGACTAGTAGGAAGCGCCCCGATTGCCTACAGTACAATTACACACAAACCAACCGATGATAAGAATTATCTAGTGAATTACCAGATCGAACCAATCATTATAATTTGTGGTCAATCGTGATCCTCCCCGACTAGTAGCCCTCGAGCTGAGTACGGATGTATGTGTTGTGTCGACGATTACGACAATTGGAATGCAACTTGTGTCGTCGTGTGCATGAAAGTATGTAGGGACATTGCAATTGAAAAGCATCTATTGTAGAACAGGCCTACCAAGGGCTCTATTCCGTAATCACTTATCGACAATTGTCGGATCAGTAGATATCGTTGCGCAGCTTTTCTATGGTATAAAAAAGCTGCCAAAGACGTCTCCGATCGATCTGACAATTGCCAAATGGTAAGTGGTTACGGAATAGTGTTGATATATAGGCAGTGAAAGCATACCGACGAAGTTTGCAAAATTAAGATGCATCAGAAAGTTAAAGTGTAATATATTATAAATTGTATGCAAAGTAAAATGTAAGTTTATTTTATGTATTTATTGCATGTATTTTATGTATTATTTTATATGAAATAGATATTTTCTGCAGATTTATAATTATAATATTAATAGAATTATAATTATAATATTTTATCTTTTCATAATTTATCCTAAAGTAATCCCAGACAAGCAGACTTCTAAAGACATCACTATGTCTTAAACGTTCTAAAGACATTACTATGTCTTAAAAACATGCTGAAAAAATTCTAAAGATGTCCATTGCAAATTGGTGTTGTCTTGAGTATATTATAATATTTGTTTTACTTACAAATTCACGTTAAATCTTTCATTTTTCACAAATTTAGTGAAGGTTTTCATCTTTCACGAGTTCATTACAAAATTTTCACTTTTCACGAGTTCACACTAGGGGAAAAGATTAATGATCTTTACCCTGGGCAGCGATCACATAACTTTGAGTGAATCTTTTCACTTTTTACTTTTTGCTCTATCGATTTCACGTAAACTTTTTCATTGTTCACGCAATCAAATTACTCTATGCGTGAAAAGCACAAATCACTAAACATGGTTCCTATATGATTTCAATATCGGCCAAATCAGCTGTATCCATCGGGTGTATATCAGTTGGACACGGGGCAATTGAACACAGTCCAATCACAAGTCGCTGTTCCAAGGGACCCTACAAATGTCTCTAATCATACGGTGCTGTGATTGGCTGTGTCCAAATGCACCGTGTCCAAGTGCACCGCTCCCGTATCCATCGGCTGTTGGCATTGTATGTTTCCTGTATCTCATCACAGCAGTAACATAATATATTCCGTATTCATCATGTCACTAGATTTTCACTTTTCCGCCAGTCCATTTCATAGCTAACAAGTTCACGTGAAAAGTTTCACGTTTCTACGCTCGCCGAGTTTAGTGATCACGAGTTCACGTGAAACTTTTCACTTTTCACGTTTCCGCTCTAGGGGAAAAGTTACATGATCGCTGCCCTGATTGGCTAATTAAATGTTACTCTACTCACCGAGTAGGGTTTCTGAACGCAGCCCAGACGGTCGAACCAAACCTTCTAAGGTTGCATTCCAAAACATCCTTTCCGAGAAAAATTTTACTCTTAAGTTTATAGTAAATGTAACATGAACTATAGATTTAAGAGTAAAATTTTCCTCCAAAAAGATGTTTTGAAATGCAATCTAAAATAACCCTAACAGCACAGATATCCAAGGAACGTCCTGAGTACGTTCTGAGGACGTCCCAATATCCTCAGAATATCCCTGGAACGTTCTCAGAAGTTTTTGTACTGTCTGGGAACCCAGCCAGAAATGAAAAGTCGAATCGACGTCGACCTGACTTTTATTTCTGTCTAGATACAATCCTACTCGCTACTTTTGAATCAATTTCATTAATACATCTGTATATATATGTAGATATAAAGAAATTAAAAAATGGAATATAGCGATGAACTAGATTCACAATTTCATGTTTTTCATAATCATGGGCAAATATTTATGCTTTATCTTATATACAAAACAGTAATAAAGCCAACTAATCAGAATGTTTTATTCATTGATTACTTTATTGATTGGTTGTCGTAATCATTTACAACCATTTACATCCCATTTACGCAATTGTAGAATAGCTCTAATGCCTAATTTCTTCACCTCCGATTAACTTTATCAGTCGGATAAATGTCAAGCGTGATTGGTTAATCTTGCCAACCATAAATATGATTGGTCAATCCCAATAGAATAACTGGCAGATAAAGTTAACCGGAGGTGAAGAAATTGGGCATAAAAGAAGTTTTATGCAGCAGAAAACCTCATTTAGTTATCTGCGCAGATTACTCGAGTTTTCTGCACATAAAACTTCACGCATAAAACGTGAGGTATTATGCGTACCCAACCTTGGCTACTGTACAATACGGTCGAAGGCAGCGCCCCGACCAATCGCACGCATGCGCGCGCTCGCTTTTTCAAACACCAGCCGTTTGTCGGGGCAGCGCGCGCGCGCCAGTAGTACGCGAACCTTCGTATCGGGAGGTTGGTTACGGTGAATGTGATTGACGAAACATCGAGTGATCAAATCGCAGGTTGAAGCTGTCAAGAGATCGACGACGACGACCTTTGTGTGCCGCGCACCGACGCAACCGACGATGTCGTTCTACTTCCGCGACGTGCCAAGATTCGCGGATCGCTTGCGCGGCAAGTCCGGCGACGAGCTGTTCCAGGAGATGAAGCAGCGCCTCAACGAGGACAACGATGCATTCTTCGAACCCACCGGTAGAACCTCCAGGGAACCCTTCGAGCGACACACTTCCGCCTTCTCGAGAGTGAGTATATTATTATTCACGATTGCACACTTATGAGCGTTCTCTCTCTCTGACATACACCCACTCTCTTTCTCTCTTCCTCTGTCTTTCTCATTCTCTCCGTGCTGCGCGCGTGTTCGGAATTCGATCGTGTTTGAATACCTACGAATATCGACGCGCTTTCTCATCGACGTTTTTTCCAACTTCTCAACCACTTCGATCGGTCAGAAATCGCGAAATACTTGTCTCCGAGTATCTGCCAGAGTTTTCTACAAAATTCGACGACTCGACATCGTGACAATGGAGTATGCAATGTTTATGTTTTCATGGCTCGCAGTTAAACAACATATACACAACGCGTCGCGATATAGAAAAATGAAAAACGTAAAAAAATTACACGTCGATATCAGTGCTTTCATAAATATTAACAGATGGCGAGCATTATTGATTTTTCGACTTCTAATGACGCGTTCTAATGTTCGCGCGAAATTTAAATTCACGACGGGTCGATGCTGAAACAGCCATCGCATCTCGCGCCCGTTGTGTACCGAATTTCTTTATATTTATAGAGCCGTCCTAATTCTCTCTCTGTCTTTCTCTCTTTTCCGTCGGAACGACCGGCGGCGACAACGACGA